ATTATTCAACCTGAATCTTTAGCAAAATTTTCATGTATCTCTTCTCAATTAACCAGTTAAAGAATTTATTGATGTTTATACTTGTATTGGTTGTGGGGCATCAGGACAAGGCTATACTTCTCTAAATAGTGGTTATGATAATGGTAGCAATGATAGTCTAGATAGGATAAATAAGGGCTTACCTTATGAACCATGATTTAGTGAATTTACTAGAGCTACTAATCAGGGTGGTAGGTGAATGACCCCAGGAGGTAAATGTTTAGGTTCAAGTGGGGATGTTTGAGAGTTTACTGGGCAATATATTAGAGGTAAGGATGGCAAACCTTTTAATGAAGCTTATGGGTTTATTCCTGCTGGTGGGACTATTAGATGGATTACTAAGGGAGGAGTTAGTCGAATTGAATGGCAACAAGCTCCTAACCAAAGTGATTTTGCTGACTTAGATTGAAGTCCACCACCAGGCTCAGGTGGAGAAATGGAAATTCCTCTAAACGATCCAGAAGTAAATATTCCTGAACCAGGAGAAAACGACCCTACTCCAGATTCAAACTTGCCGGAACCTGATCTATTTGACCCTACTGGTGGAGAACCCGAGATACCACCAATAGAGCCAGACATAACCGTTGATGAAGACATTCCCGAAAATGACTTCCCAGACATTGACCCACCCCCAGTAGAAGTTGAAACACCAGAAACAGATCCCAATGACCCCGACCAAGGAAAGGATCCAGACACCGGAGATAATGATGTGCCTCCACCAGATCCATTTGATTTAGGAGATAATGATAATGATTAAAAAATAATTTTATCTATATTATAATTAGGATTGAATTAAAACTATATTTATGAATGAGGAAATAAAATGTAGCAAAGAAAGTCCTTGTCAGGATTGTCAAAAGGAATTAGAAAAAGCATTGATTAAATGTGAAGATTGAGAAGAGAATTTAAAAAAGTATATCGAAGAAAATCAAATGTATACTCACCATGTGGGAAATAGTAGAATTCAATATTCAGTTACAGGAGGTCATAATTATCATTCCGAAAAATGCCCTTCCTGCCAACAAGTAATCAAAATAATAAAATCCAACAGCCACGGAGACCAAACCGAAGAATTAAAAGAACATACTCATACTGCTAGTTGTCAGGCTTCAAATCAAATCAAATCAAATCAAATCAAATCAAATCAAATCAAATATGGTCGAGAATGATAAGAAAACCAATTATTTGCCTTGGGTTTTAGGAGGGGTTGGGATAGTTGGTTTGATTGGGATAATTGTTTACTTTACCCTAAAAAATAAGAAAGGAGGTCAAGAATAATGGTTAATTGAGAAGAGATACATGAAAATTTTGCTAAAGATTCAGGTTGAATAATTACTGACACTAAACAAAAACTAACCTGGCAACAATTATGAGAAACTTGAGGTTTTACTGCTGAAGAAATGAAACAATTAGTAGATACTGGTTTACATCCAAATGAAGCTTATTTTGGTCTCTGATTAAAAGGTAAAAAGCAAGTTAATGAATTGTTGACCTTAGACACCGAAGAACTAAAAAAGGAATATAATAAACTTTGAACTGATATTTACGAGAATTTCTCTAAAAAAACTGGCTCTGGTGAAACCTATCAGCAAATCTGAGAAAAAGAAGGCTTTACTTACCAAGATGCTCAAGAGTGAATTCCACTTGGATTTAAACCAAGACCATTATTGGTTAATTAAACAATGAAAAAATCTTAATTTCACTCCCCAAGAGGCTAGATCTTGAATGAAGGTTAATCCATTAAGAGAAGATGAAACTGAATTTGCTGTTTACTTAAGAGACAATGGCTATACTCCAGACACTGTTTTCCAAGCCAAAAGCCAGACTCAACATTGATTAGATTGAAAGTATCCTCAAGAACAGAGAAGCACTATAAAAGGGTTAAACATTGATGGAAAAGACCTCACTGGTGATTTAAACTTAAATGATTTTATTGACTTAAAAGAGTTAAATTGTTCTTATAATAATCTAACTCAACTAGATTTAACCAATTGTAACCAATTAGAAAGACTCGACTGTAGTAATAATTATTTGCAGGAGTTAAAACTTCCTTCCTCTGGTGAAAAATTGATTTATTTAGATATTAGTGATAATAAATTTTCAGGAAAAAATTTATCCATGTTTAGTAATTTAGTTAGTTTAGAATGATTAGAAATCGGCGATTATTATAAAGATAGTAACAACCATTTTGTCGGCAGTTTGGAGCCTTTGCAAAATCTAACCAAGTTGTGGCATTTGAACGTTGGTAATACTGATATCAATGGTAGCTTAGAATATTTGCCTGAGAGTGTTAAAGAATTTAGGTGTTCAAAAAGCCTAATCACTGATGAACATTGAGCTACCAATAATAAAAAGATTGTCAAATTAGCTCACAGGAATTGACATAGAAAAAAACAAGACATCAAGGAAGCTACTAGTAAAGATAAACTAACAATCTGAATACCTTATGAAAAATTTACAAATATTGAGCCCCTGGCAGAGGGAGGATTTGGTAAGGTATTTAAAGCAAAATGAAATGATTCTTTTTATGGCGTTGGTGTTAACAACAACGACATCGTCGTTTTAAAAAGTTTAAATAATTCTCGAAATATTACCATTGACTTTCTGCAAGAGGCTTTTAAGCATTTATTACTTAATGAGAATGAAAGTTATATTGTTCCTTGTTATGGAATATCTCAAAACCTTGAAACCGGTGATTACTTGCTGGTCATGAAATATATAAAAGGAGGCAATTTACGACAGTATTTGAGTAAAAACAAATTAGCTTTTAAAGGTAGGCTTCGTCGATTAAGTAATATTGCAGCAGGTTTAAAAGAAATCCATGCAAAAGGATTAATTCATCGAGACTTCCATTCAGGGAACATATTAAGTGGTGGTTTTGGTGGTTATTCCTATATTACTGATTTAGGACTATGTCGACCGGTTAGCGAAGAAAACAAAGAAAAAGTTTATGGAGTATTGTCTTATGTGGCTCCTGAGATTTTACAAGGGCAACCTTATACCCAAGCTGCTGATATTTATTCTTTTGGGATGGTAGCCTATGAATTATTTGCTGGCTTGCCTCCTCATCTTGATTTAGATTATAACACAGCTTTAGCAATAAATATTTGCGGAGGACAAAGACCTAAATTCCAAATTGAAATTCCTCCATTATTAAAAGACTTAATTGAACAATGTTGAGATGCTGATCCGGCAAAAAGACCAACAACTGGTGAACTAGAAACAATTTTAAACAATTGATACAACGAAATTGGTTATAACAAAAATACTGAATTTTGTCAGCAATGCAAAGTAATAGAAAAAGAATATAATCAAGCAGTAGTTTCAATTTCAGCAGTTGTTTCTGACCCTAGAAAACTTACTAGCAAACTCTTGCCAACCAAGGAAATTACTCAATTGCTACAAGATTCTGGTTTAATTGGTTTGCAAATTCCTTCTACAAGTATCTCTGCTAACCTTAATCAACTCAATCTTTCCGAAAATCAATCAACTGAACAACAGTCCCTCCAAATCCAACCAGCTTATGGCACCACAGGTTCCAGCAACAGTAATAAATAACCTCTTTCCTTATCCATTCACCTTAATTTCAGCAACATTTTTTCCTTCTCTTGAATAAAACCTCATCAACTCAATTTTCCTGCTTAATTCTTCTTAACCAACCCCAAAAACCAATCCCTTGACCGATAATCCACAAAAGCAAGCATTCCTACTTTAAGCATATTCACCCACTTACTCAATAAGTCCTCTTTTTTCCTTAGTCGGCAGTTTTTAAGTTTGCTTTTGGCTTTCTCTTCTAAGGTGAAGCAGAAGTTTATCAGAGTGCTGTCAGTCTCTTTGAGGTTACGGGTAAAATGCATGAGGGCATACTTTTTATGTACCTTCCTCTCCCCCACCTCACAAAAATAAAAATCCTGCACAGCAAACATAATAACATACTTCTTCGGCCTAGCTACCATAAACTCATCCCAATTCCTTAAAGAAGGATTTTTAGTTTCTTCTAAGGCTAGGGAGTGAACATCTTCTCTTGGTTTCACTAAATTAATATAAAGAAATCATTGTTTATCTTGACTTCAAACTTTCACCCCTGCTTTATCCTTAGTGGCTAAAAGTTCTTCAGCATGTTTCTTAGCCCCCCATAATCCCCCTTCCTCCTCAAACACCCCCAAAAACCAACTACTCCAACTATAAGGATTAGCTAAAAAAGTTATTTTAAGGGGTTTATCCTTCCTCTTCAAACTATCCACTAAATCTCTAAAATTAAACTGTTCCTTCCCTAAAAACTCTTGATCAATAGGAATAGCTTCCTCATAAACAATCTCACTAACAGTTTTAGCTCTTCCCCCTCTAGCCTTCTTATAACTAAACAAATCATAGAAAAAAATAAACAACTCCCCACCATAAAACACTCCTTTCTCCTTAACCTCTCATTCTCTAGAGTTAAAATTAGCAATCAATCCTTCCCGTTCCACTTCTCACAAAACATCTAAGAAAAGAGGCTTACTACACTCCAATGAGTCATGTCAATGTCTTCTCACTCAAGCAAAGAATTCTCCTTTCTTCATTACTCTTGAAAAGAGTTCCAAAATCTTACTAAAAGTCTTCCCAGTCTTTCTTTCGGTTAAATAAATATGAAACAATCCTTTTTCTTTATAAACCTCAGCTCAATCAATCAAATTACCCATCTCCCCTTCCAATAAAATAAACTAAATAAGCATCTAATTCATGCAAGTTAAGCTTTTGCCCATTTAAATTTCAACCTTTACCTCTTCCTTGGTGGTATTCTAACCCGGCTATGGTTTTAGTTCCTTTTAACAGTTTGTCTTTGAGGGACTTGACTTGATTAACTGGCACCTGATAGATCTGTTTCACAAAAGCAAATAGGTAAGGCAAAACTTCCACAGCCCCTAGCAACTTAAATAAACTAGTCATATCTTTCCCTTTCACTCTAACAAAATTAGTGTGTTCGTAGATAATGGTATCAGGTTGATGAGTTTCTACTTGTTCTACCAAGAAGGCTAGATGGGCTTTTCACTCTTTACTAGCAAAGGAAGAAAACTGCTGCTGGCTTCCATTAACAAAAAACATTCCACTAATTCCCGTGCCGGATGGATCAATACTTAATATTCTCATAAAACTTTTCGCACATAAACCCCCACAAGGCCGAGGGGGACCAAGCATTGGTGAGGTAGTGACCGAGGTTAGCGAGTTTAGAAAACTCTGCTATCTCACAGTCAACCATCCAACCAAGCTCTGGCCCCTCGTGCCTTCGTCGACCTTTAATCAAGGTCTCCTACTTCGTTCGTCGACCTTTTCTTGATAATTAAAACTTCCAGTTTTACTTTTCAGCAGGTAGTTCATAGGTTATTTCTTCACCACCAAATAAAAATCTAAAACCTGCTTATTAGCAAATCATTTCTTATACTTAAACACTAAATTCTTCCCTAAAATAGCTAATTTAGTGATTTGAGTTCATTTCTCGGCCGGCAAGTTTTCTTTTCTAGCCTGTAAGCTTTCCTTTCCGGCTCCTCCTAATTTCAAAACATAATAAACTTGACCCTTATTCTTCCCTTCCTTATACTTTCTTTCGGAGATTTCAGTGAGGTAGCCGAATAAAGAGTAAGTGGTATGATTAGAGGGTTCGGATTCAGTAAAGTAATAAGAAGTGATTTTCTTAATTAGTTCCTGGGCTAGGTTATGCTGCAAGTTATTAGTCGGTTCCCCTAATTTTTTAAAAAGGGTAATAGGAAGTTGTTCCTTACTAATAGCTTGACTCTCTAATTGATTTCAAAAGTTCATATAATTCCTTTTTAGCCTCCTCATTTATCTAAGTAAATCCAAGGAATTTCAATATAGATAAAATTAATTTGGGGATTAAAATTAGGGTGATTTTTTTCCTTCCTTTTGGCTCTCTTTCTTATTATTATTTCTTTTCTGCGAAAACAAATAACGCTTTACATGCCCCCCATTTAAAAAAAAGAAAAATAAATAAAAGAAAAAAAAAACCCGAACCACGTCAGGAACCAAGTCAAGCACAAGTTTATTTATTTTATAAATAATAACTCATTTTAAAATTATGATATAGCTAAAATATTTAGGGCAAAAAAAAATCTATTCTCCTCCTCTTCTAAAACCGGCAAATTAACTAACTATTCTTAGCCTGTTAGCTAACCTGCTTAACTAAAAATAATGGGGTTGAGATATTTTTCATTTTAACCAGTTAGCTTACGGGTAAGGTTGCCTGGTAATCATCCCCTCAACTAAGCCTGCTTACTTAAGCATTATCCTAGTTAATTAAGGTTAGAAGAGTAATTACAAGAATTACACAAATAAATTTTATAATTATCTCTTCCGAGGAGCCAGGAAAATAAGGGCAATTACTCTTCTAGTTTGCTTTCTGGCTCCCCGCAAGGGATAATTTAGAGAAAGGTGGCAGCCCGACTTAGTTTCCTTGCTTAGCAAATTTCTTTTAGCTGCCACTATGCTTTTACATGAATTCTTTCCTCCTTTATAATCAATTAATTCTTCCCCAATAAAATATCAGCAATTAGAACAGTATTTTCCTTGATTACAACCCGGGGCACAATTATAATTAGTTCCGGATTGATATTGGTGGATTAGTTGGGGGAGGGTGGGTTTGCTTACTATTCTCACGGATCTCTCTGATCGAAGTTTGACAGGTTTGGCTTTCACGAGACTAACCGGGTCTAACTTTTCCTGATTGGGACTAACAGTTAGTCCAGGGTCTAACATTTGAGGACTAACGGGACTAACATTTTCTTTAAGGTCTAACACAGGACTAACATTCTTATCAGTTAGACCCGAATTTCGTCTTTTCCTCATCAGTTCTCGTTGATATTCTCTTCTTTTAAGGGGATCTTTAATGGGCATATTTACCTCCCTTCACTTCCTTATAACCAACTCCGTTCATTCATAAGTTCCTTGGATTTTATAAGGACACTTAACTGAATGT